AAGATGGATATTGCAAGCGCAAGACTGTTTGTGTGACACCCTCATTATGGAAAAACAAACATACCGGCAGAAATGATAAATAGGAGCTTCCCCAAACAGTTGCCTCTCTCCTGACAATCCTCTCTTTGCACGAACCATATGGTAATTAAACATAAAAAAACCTGCGGCTTATAGTCCAGTGCGGCTTGTATAAATACAAATCATGCAATTTAGCTTCTGCGGCTTATATTCAGGTGCGGCTAATAGTCCGAAAATTACGGTAGCTCATAAATGTCATATATACTTCAATATCCTTCGGTGGTGCAGTGGTTAGCAAGCACAACCCATGTACGCAGACCTTAGTCCTCGATGTGGCCGACTCGGATTTGAATCCGACCTGTGTTCCTTTGCCACATGTCTCTCCCCCTCTCTCGTACCCCCTTTCCTGTCATCTCACTGTACAAAAACAATGAACCAGTAGTGCTGCAAACCCCCAACCCCAAAAAAATATATATCATTACTATCGCAATTTGGTTCAGCAGACCTCGTTGACGTGTCCAACATAAAGCCAAGTTAAGGTGAAGATGCCTAACCTTAAAGCACAGCAGCAAGAGAACACCAAACACTTCCTATCAGCACAACTACCCCAAACTAAGGCAAAACCATTATGAACTGGACCAGGCCAACTTGCTGGGAATGGGCTGGCCAAATACCTCTCTTTATATTAAAGCATTCTAAACTCGAGAAAAAAACAAATGAAATTGTATCAATTGTCCTGCTGCACACAGAATAAAATGTGATGTCAGAGCTGTGCTGAAACCTGTGTATAGTTACATAAATGAACTGAAATAATGTTGTAAATCCTTTTACAGTTATATGAGACCAGTAAAGCTAGATAGAAAACTACTACTGAAAGTTATTGCTGTCAAAAGTGGTTTTACAGGACAAAAAAAATCATAGGGTGTGCTAAGTTCTTGTTTATAGCTCGTCTATTCATGCACAAAATCGTTCAAATGGTTGCAGTACAACCTTAAGGTTGTTTATAATGGACTACATTTAAATGTGCTGTATTATGAAGCAGTGACTCTACACTGAGTTCTCAAGGCTGAAAAAGGAACACGGGATTTCTTGAAAGCTGACTTGTCAGGCTCTAAATTGAGGCGTGAACTCTTGGCACTCGTTTCTCCCTGGAGGCCTCGTCTATCTGCTCCAACACAGGATCCCAGCTGCCTCTCTGGGAGTCCTTTTCTATGGGGAATTTGGCTTTTTCATGTGGAGCCTCACATTGTAATGAAGTGCTGTAATCTCCATCATACTGTCTGTGAATTCATTATAGACTGAGCACATTAGATACGCCGCGGTTTCAGTCACAACGCCACTGAGACAGACTGCATCTCAGCGTGCCTCATCTATATCCCCTCTGGAGGAGTCGTTGACCCTTTGGATTTCCTTCACATTATTACATTAGTGTTTATCAAAAATAGGTTTAATTCATTAAATATATTTCTATTACACAATGCAATAGTGAAATATTTCCCAGGAAGAGGAAAATCTTAATCAGATAAGAACACAAAGCACTCTGGTTAACAGCCTCCACAAAGCGCATGCTGAATGTATGGGTTGTGCCCTGCACAGGCTTACAGGACTCACCTATAAAAAGACGCTTTTTAGGCCGGAACTTATATGACAAAATAGTGTCTGATTAGATAGATGTATAGAGAATAGAACAAAAAATATGAATCCGAATATCTAGATCAGTACCTGGTTTTGATGCAGAAGATAATTTTTCTTTACTTAACTTATCTGACTTCAGTAAAAGACCTTGTGCATGCATTCTGGTTAAAGAAAAGTAAAATGCCTTGGAAAGTTCCTACCTTTAAACATCTACAATATTTTGACATCATCAACACAAATGTTAATTTTTTTTTCCACAATTTATGATGTTTTGAACAATTTATTATTGTTTTACGATCATATAAGGATATAACATGATCCACGGTTTGAGTTTATATTAATCATTTGTGGCTCTAAAGTAAATGCTCTAAGGAACTACATTTTTCCACAGTCTGTTCTTTTTGGGTAATTTCTCTACAAGCTTTTTATATCAAAAGACACATTTTTCCACCCTTATTCCCAAAACTACTCAAAATTGATTGAGAGCATCTGTAATCAGTCCTTTCACAGACTGGCAACTGGATTTAGGTCTGGACTTTGACTAAGCCCTTCTAACACATACATATGTTTTAATTTAAGCAATAAAGCATGGTTGTATGCTTAGAGTCTACCTACTGCTAAGAGTCTGGACTCATTGAAGCTACTTACAGCTTTTAATTCAGGATTAGTTTATATCCATCCATCCACGTTTACATATATGCATTTCACCCATAAGCTTCCTAAATCATACAATAATGAGGTACAATTATCAGCTCCATGGAGGCATCAGTCCATCCAGGGTTCGAGTCCTGATTAATTTAGACCAATGCTACATGTCTTCCACTTCTCTCCATCCTATTTCCTGCCTGTCTATTCTGGAGATATAAGCAGGAAGATAAAGGCCAAAATATATCCATAGTGAATACATATTGAATTACATGTATTTGCAGAAATAGAATAATTATTGTATTGTATTTTTTTATTAAAATCTTTATTCATTTAATTATACATTCTCTTTAAAATTATATGTTGACTATATTTTGTAATGCCTTTATTTATATCTAGGCTGTGACTCATTTGGACTAAGGAGACAGACCCTAGTAGTCCATAAATCAGGGCATCTGTAAAGAAATCCATAGCTTCTCCACTCAAATAAACAAAACTCTGCACCACAACTTCCAAAATGAAGAAATTATGTAATCAAAGTTCTAAGGAAAATTTGGCATTATTGAGAAATGTGTTTAATAAAGCATTTTATCAAGACCTGTAAAGGGCTATCAAAATGCAGCCAATTTACAGTAAATGTCCCAGAATTTTTCGTTTCTCTGAAATTTTCCCTTTCAAGATCCTCCTCATTAGCCACGTCTTCTCAGATCATAATCAGAACATGTTTAACTGCATAAGATAACTATGTGATGAAATATTTTAGTCTAATTTCTCACCAAAAATGATGTAACGGTAAAAAAAAACAAAGTTTTAATTTATTTAAACAGTAAGTAAGTAAGACTTAGTGAGTTAGGCACATGGAATATTGGAGTAAATTAATGTTTTTCCTTTATGAAAAACAGTGTAATTGTGAACATAATGACCCAACATTTGCCTGGTGTAATACAGCAGTAGTAGTTACACTGAAAAAAATAATGCAAAAGCTTTCGGCATTTACTTAATTATATTAAGTTACTTTAACACAATTGCTTTATGTCCTACTCTGCTAACATGAAAAAATTGTATTAAAGTAACTAAACATAATTAAATGCCAATGATGATTAAGTAAATGCAAAAAAACGGTTGCATTATTTTTTCAGTGTAGGCATTCCCTAAAACCCATCTTTACCAGCTAAAAAACCACCTATTTCAAATTTAAGAAGCTTTAAAATAAGCTTAAAGGCACCTAAAATACTAATAAATTGAGCTATTCTTTATATTTAAGGATATGTATAGTAAAACATATTTAGGTGCTTGGATGGTTATAATGTCATGTTTTCCAAATGTTTTGCTCTGATCAGAAGCTTTTAATTAAAAAAAACTAAGAGAATATTTATGCATGGTTTGATAATTTGCTGAAAGGGTAAAATAATAGAGTAAACAGGTAAGAGTTTTTTTCTTATCTTTTGGGTCATTAAAATAAAGTGTAGATATAATTAGAAGCAGGAGGAAAAATGCAGTGTCTATGTATATAAAATCCTCACTAGGGTGCAAATAAGGCATTCCTTTCAGACAGCATTTCCTGCAGTGAATGGCTCAATTGTAACACGTATTAGAATGTATCAGTGAAGGGTGGGGAGTTCTGTTACACAGTTACTGCTTCTTTGTTTAAAAAACTGAAATGAAACTCCAAAACAAAAAAGTGCCATGAGGAACTATAAGTTTTCTGCTAATCAACATCTCTACATGACAAAATGCGTATATCTCTGAAATCCATGTGACAAACCAGCATTCGGCGGCCATATTCAATTCAATTTAGTTTATTTATATACCGCCAATTCACAACACATGTCGTCTCAAAGCACTTTACAGTTACTAGACCATCTAGTCAGATTGATTCAAAGTTTACTATCTAACGAAAACCAGTTAATTTAATCAACTCATTGACTCGAACACATTGACGACACTAAGCATGCTTTTAGCGACCGTGGAGAGAAAAAACTCCCTTTTAACAGGAAGAAACCTCCAGCAGAACCAGGCTCAGTATGAGCGGCCATCTGCCGAGGCCGACTGGGGCTCAATGAGACAGAAGGAGAGATACAAAAAGCAACAGTAAAAGGCGGCCCCGTCCAGGAAACACACAGCCAGGCAGACGATTTCCGAGCCATCTCCCGTGTCAGAGAATGAAGAGAGCACACCCAGCCAGTCACAGCCAGAGAAACAGGACTACACTGAAAAAAGGCCACTATCCAACATCTATAAACAAAAGTGTTGATGGTAGCAGCACAGCTGATATTTCTCTCCAGGATGGAGTCACAACCAAACAGGAACAGATGAGGCAAAGTTACTATGAGAAAAATATCAGTTTTCAACTGTGTTATTACTAACTAATAACGTATGATATAATTATTATTCCTCTTTAGGCATTACTAAAGAATTTCTACCCTGTTTTAAATATTGCAATGTGAGTGTTACCTTTGTTAGAAAATAATATTCTCTTAAACAACTGAGTGATATGTTTATAACAAGAGTTGGTGTAATATTGTAAATATTTTTTTTTAAAGTGTTTCAGTCTAATTTTATAGATCCTGCCTATCATTTATGTTACAGCAAACCTTTAAAAAAACTATAAATATTTGTGCCAACATTTTGTGACTTTATTTAATGTTTATGAAGTCATACCATAATGTGCATAAAATGTAAATGCATGGTTGTAAATGTACCGTCGATGTTCTCCCTGTCGCTGATGTGCTGTAGGTTGCATGCCGTCTCCTCCCTGCTTAGATCCGAGTCCTGGTGGTACGGCTCCAGCCTGGAGTGCGCATTTCTGCGGAGCTTGGGACTGCCAGACACGCAGCAGGAGGTCGCGTTCCCCATTTCTCCTCCTGCAGTATAAATAACAACAATCCTTCTCGCGCTGAAACAGGAGCTGAAGGAGGAGGCCCCTCATCAACGCAGATCAACAGAGCGCTCCGGGCGCATCCTCAGCAGATCCTGACGGAGAAGCTGCCACTCTACGCGGATGTGTCACTTCCACCCTTACTGTGATAGAGGCTAAATAACAGACCCACATCACACGCATGGTGAGGCAGAATGCATCTTGTGACACCGCAGGCGCACAGTGATGCGTGGATCTGGGATTCTATCCAGTGCGGGCGGTTAGGGCAGGCGCGTGGTGCGTTCATTCACTGAGTATTACGGTAGGCACGCTTATTGGCTGCGTTCAAAATAAGAGCTTGCTTCCGGTGCGATGATTCAGGTTTATCTCTCTAGAGGGCGCTGTTTCTGTCTGTGAACCTCACCTTGCAATTAAAACAACAGTATCACAAGAGGCTAGACTGAGGTGCACAATTATGGACAAAATAGTAGAATAGTATTTTTTGGGTGGAAGTGTTTACTACCATTAAGTCTAAGTCTTAAAGGATATTTTTATTCTCCCGGTTTCAACACAGCATGAGACTATGTTTTTGTGTTTTGTGGTTTTGTTTTAATTTGTTTTTATGTTGTTTTAAGTGTTTTATATTTTTTTTCTATTTGCTTAAACATTTACGTTGTTTTCATACATTTTAAAATGTCCTGGTATGTATAGTACTTGTGCCGTGGTTGTTTTAAAGGGTTCTATCAATAAAGTTGAGTTGAGTTAATGCAGAGATTAAGCTTTGCACCCAACTTTTACTGTGACTAACTCTTTCTTTCTTGCACAGAGCCATCTATTGAGCTAGTTTATAGTTACCTTTTCTACCACAGTGTTTATGGATCAGTGCTTATGTTCCTTTTGTGCATGTCGGCTTCTGTCTCCTTGAACCTCAGTAAACCTCGGCAGAAAGCATCCCACACTGAGCATTGTTCTTCAAATGACGTCTCTTCGGCTGTCTAGGTCATTGGAAATGATGCTTTCAAAAAGAAAAAAAAAATGGTCAGGTAGTCCAAATTAGTTACCGGCTTAAAGGAACTGTTTAGACCAGGAAACTCCCACCCTGGTCCTTAAGATCTACCATCCTGCAGGTTTTAGCTGCATCACTGCTCCAACACAGCTGGATCAAATGAACGGCTTGTTACCAGGCCTTTGCCGAACTTGATGGAATGTTGAAGAAGTAAGTTAGTAATTTGAATAGATTATTCACGTGTGGAGGATATGCAAATAGAAACATTTACCACGTGCAAAGCGATTTTCTAAATTGTTACTCAACAGGTCTCCAGACCATGGAGAGAGATTATCTGTGTATGTAAACAAATTTGAGATGTAAATAATTGCAATAGTAGAAAAATATTAATGAACAAAAAATGTCTTTGCAGACTTGCGCAAATTAATGCAGACAGTCTTTATCTAATTCTCACGACCAAAACAGTCACTACAGAAACCTGCTATGATATTTCGCTAGTGACATGACTTTTTTGTTAGTGACAAAGTGGAAATTCACTTCTGTTGGTGGATTTTTGAGTGCACAAACAGAACAGTCTTCAAAAAATGTGAAGAGATATTTCCTTCTATTAACAAAAAGTGTATTGGGTTATAAATTAGGTCTGCTCCTTCAAGTCAGCAGGTTCCATTAATTGAATTGGTCTGGCTCAGGTTGACAATTTTTTTGCCACCCTGACTTATTAGAAGATTCACAAGCAGGAATATGGATATACAGTAGTCAAAGCATTTCTGAGTTGCCTTATCAATAGTCAAATATCAGCAGAAGCACATTCAACTAAATGAAATAAGGGATTTAACTTGTATTTTCTGGATATCTTGGCTTAGTTTAGCCCTGACTCTTTCACAAAAGTTATACATATAAATTAAATGCTCCAGACTGAGCAAACAGCCAAGTTTGATTAATCCGTTGCATTCTTTTTTTACATTTTAAAAGAATCCAATATGTTTTCTAAGTGATCTTGTTTTCTTATCTTCAGGTTGTTGTTTTTTTTTTCCTGTTTTTTCTTGTTTTTTTCAGCTCAAATAAAAAAAAAACCTTACTGATTAAAAATCTATAAAGTCAGGCCATAAAAGTAGCTCCAAACATATTTGTTTTCATGTACAATGGTGGGTCCCTATTTTATTTTATTTATTTTTTCTGACCTTTACCTGCAGGGTAAGGGGGGAAGTGTTTAATACAGGACTTCCCAAAGCTAATGGTGCTCTGTACAGAAAATGCATTTAGGTAAAACTCCCCTCTGAAGCACAAGGTGATTTTGTTAACAGAAAACCCCTGAGGATAAGTTCAGAGTGTGTTATAGTTAGGTCTACTGCCCACTACATATATTGATTATGTGCTTTAAGAAACCTCACCACATCTTATTGCTTTAAATGATCTGTGATGATGATTGCATCTTCAGCAATATGGAGGCAAAGTGGTGTGAATCAGTCCATGAGTCCAAAACCTATCCCACCCTGGATACCTTCTAAAACAGGCCTCCTTTTGTTTAAGCTAATGGACAAATATTATGCTGGGGTGTAAGGTTGTCAAAACTATCAATACTCAAAAAAGTATCGATACTGAAACGTTGTATCCGGATACAATACTCGTTTTAAAAAGTATCGATACAGTGCCACCACAAGTGGCACCTAAACAGTCATTCATCTAAAGTGCAGAATAGAGGAAAATGCACTTTCAGAACACTGTGTGATTGAATAATTCTGTGCACTTTTCAGTTTCAGACTTTTTTTTGTAACAGGTGCAGCTGCTGAGAATTATTTCTGTTTCTTAACCAGTTTGGCTAGTGTCATTGTTATGTGTGCAAAGTATAGCAAAGGAAGGAAAACTTAATTTTAATTTTGTAAGTTTTTTATCAAGCTTGCTTAATACTGTGCACAGCATACAAGCTCAAAATATTGTTCTTATTGTTTATTGTATTTATTTATTATATTTTAATTATTATTCAAAATATTTCTGTGGAAATTTGGAGTTTTTATTCTTGTGGTATCGAAAATGATATCGAGTATCGAATATTTTCCTTAGTATCGGTATCAAGTTGAAAAGTTTAGTATTGTGATAACCCTACTGGGGTGACCTCCCTGCACCACACACCAGCCTTTATTTAACACCTACAATAGGCAAGAGTATCAAATATGTGTGAAGGCACCTTCTAAGCACAAAATGTGTAGATTACATTCAACATTTTTTCCAGATACCACCAGTCTGCGATATGTTTGTTGTTGAACTGCCGCAGGTCCTCTTTCATCCATTTATATTTTTGTATGGCTATTGAGAGGATGTGTAAAAAAAAAAAAAAGATGTTAGTAAAAGAATTAATGGAAATTCACCCCAACTCTACACATTTAAGTGAGTTACTCAAATCATTACACCACACAGGGACCGAATTCAAGGATATAAATGTAATACAAAGCCATGAACCTGGGATATAAAAGATATTAAAGGAAGAGTTAATGTATTAGGTCCAGTTATTCTAAGAACTGTTTTTTTCCTGTAGGTGGCAGCATGTTATCAGTCTCTTGAGGCCAATGAGTGTTCATATTACATGAAATCCAAACCAGTTTTATTAAGACATGGGACTTTAGTTACATAATTAACAAAATT